CCGAATGCCAGGGTTCCCCACGTGTCTGTATCGAATGCCAGGGTTCCCCACGTATCTGTACCGAATGTCAGGGTTCCCCACGTGTCTGTATCGAATGCTCGCGTGCGTGTAAGTCATCGTCAAGCAATGATGGTCGAAATTGGCAAGTATAATATTGACATTAATAACATCATTGTTCATGGTTAAATCCTTAAATTGTTTACCTTGACAAATTCAGAAATTTTGAAGATGGCTGTCAGAACGACAGCTGAAACTGTCAAGGTAAACAATTTAAGGATTTAACCATGAACAATGATGTTATTAATGTTTCAAAAGAAATCTGACTATGAACTTTCAAGATATAATATTGACATTTACCATCATTTACGACAACTTACAATGCTACACATGGACCCACTACAGTTTACCTGATTTAACCAAGGATGGGCTGGCGTGCAGAAGTATTGAAGTAGTTAGCGGACACATGTCGTGACATGCTTCTTGGAGCGCTGTCTACGGTTGCTGTTTGCTTGTTTCAGGATTCTACAGCTGCTGGGGAAACGGGACTGCTAGCTCACATGCAGGAGAATCTCGAGAGCATACCGCTGGCGCCATCTTCCAGCAACTCTGGTTAGTTTTGCTCCTCCATAGAGATATTCACCTTTTTAGCTCACCTTGACATCGGCAAGATGAGCTATTGCCATGGGTCGTCGTCCGTCGTATGTCCATCTGTCCTTCCGTCAACATTTGGCTACGGTCAACGATAACTCAGGAACCGTTTGACCCACACGTTTGAATTTGGGTATAATTGTTACTGCTATGTGAGAGGTTTGAACGTCCTATTTTGGAGCATGCCAGTCGACGTACTTTCGAGTCACGGCAATTTTTTGGCAAAAATGGAAATTGCCATTAGTCAGTTCAGGTTCAACGGATTTTGTACATTTTTGGTATGTGAATGAATAAGGGTAAACTTATTATAAAGGTTTTGATATTAAAAAAAAAATTATGCAAATTAGGTAGGTTTTGGCAATTATATAGCATATTATATAGACACGCAGATAACAGTCTGTGGTGTCACATTCGTCTGGTTCGTTTTACAAGATTTCATTGACAATATCTTTAATGCAAAATTGGTATTTCCTGTCCACGCTGCCGATAAAACGTCTATATTAGAGTAAAGTTTAACAAAACATGTCGGAACGCAGCATAACCTATTCATTTCGAATGCCATCGCTAAGAAACATCAAAGCGGGTATAGCGCCATCTACCGTCATAAATTTTGATTCATTTTGGTTTATTAATTATTATGGCAATATACAGATGGCAACCGTGTGCTACCGCCTAGAAAAACTCATACGAAGTAAACACTTCCATGCAACCAATTAACCTTTGACAAAAGTTATGTTATGGGCAGGGAAACACCATTGTCACGTGGTATATAGCAGCTACGTGGAATAAGCGTATCCTCTCAATCTTACACGTTACACAGGAGCTCCGCTTTTATAGGCAGTTCATAAATCT